TTTGTTTCTTTTTTTAAAACCCCAAGTCTTCATGCCCACAGCTCCTGGAGCTATGATCTAAAGAGAAATTTGTTATGTCCCACGACTCGCTGCTGTAAGAGATGACGTGACCAAAAAGTTCTATTTAAAAGGAATTACTTTCTTCTTTTCCTTAGATACAATCATCTTTAAGTTTGAGTAACAAGTATTTAACCTCAAATGAAGCTTCCTGCATGCAGCGGAACAGATATGTAAGTTCCTTTGTTTTTTTGTTTTTCCCTTGTTTATTAGTTAGTGGATAGCTTGCTTGTTTGCTTAGGGTCTTACATTATTATTGTTAGTATTAATTTAGAGTAAGCCAATAGATAAGGGCAATGAAAAATTATGTATTTGAATTGGCTTGTATGGAGCTTAGTAATTTAGCAGGAGGTTTGTGTGAGTGTCTGAGATTTAAAAATTAACATTGTAAGCCTGGATATCTTTACAGTGTTACATTAATAGTAACTGGCATATGATTTATAGTGCACCTCCTACTCTGTGGTAACAGCTGACGTATATACATCCTCACTCTGCAGTTTACCTCCTGAAAAAGAGGGAAGTAACTCGCATGCTCTACATTCATCCCATGCCCCGAGTGCAATTACCTCATTCAAGGGTTTTTTTTTGTTTTGTTTTGAATTCTCACTGATCAGAGTAAACTTAAGTATTTTCTTCTAAGGTTTTTGTTTGAAACAATTTTTTTCTTTATACATTCAGTTTGAATTGTGGCTACAGATTTTTGGAAGTGTAAAATTAATTTCATGCCTAAAAAATACATGAAGATTAACAATTATGTGTAGATTATCACTGTTATTTTTGTATAGTGTTTAAGATAATGCTAATCCTCCCCATCTCCCCTTCAATAAAAACAGTTCAACTTTGGCTATGTGACTTGCATTTTAGTGTGGACAAAAAGTTTAAGAGGTAAAATGCTGAGCAAGGAAGTCTTGGTGGAGTCATGTAAGACTAACCTTCATAGGAAAGTAGAATAAAAACACGATTCAGATTCATTTCTTGAAGGAAAGCGTCCCTAGGTTGCACACACAGAATACTTGCAGGATTTTGTTATGTATTAAGACTGTGGATATTTCTTTGTCAAGAGGGTAAGCAAAACTAACTGTTAGTGCTTTCGAAGTCCATAGCATAGCCAAAGAACTGGAAAGAGCAGTGATCGTTTGCAGCAGCCTGTTGAGTCAATTCTTGATCACTGTAAAGGAATCTTTGAAAAGGGATGATGTTGCGCTTCACAGAATATTTAGAAGTTCACTCATATTTGATGCTGAATTCTAATACGCTCATCTAGGGATCGCTTTGTACTGTTTCATTGTGTGATGTCAAGCACCATATATTTTTATAGTTCTACCTAAAGTGGCTCCCAAGGCTAAAATCTTCCAAGAAGAATATCCATTCTAGTATTACCTGTCAACTAAAAATGAATATCTTGCCTTAGTATCTTCAATAACTTTTTTTTTGTATTACAATCCAGATGATGTAAGTGTTGACTGCAGTTTGGATTGTTCTGGTTGACAGCGAAATCTTTAAGTAGTTAGTGCCAACACAAGCTCCAAAAGAAAAATACATATGTTTTATTACTTGTGTACTGATGTTTGTGTGCTTCTTCAAAATTCATATTGTTTTTTTCTTTTTTTCTCCAATTATTTTGTTAAAATTTTATAAAACACAACCATATTTACATTTTATTTAGGGGAGTGTGAAATACGAGTAATATATCATATATAATCATAGAATATGCAGAACTGGAAGGGACCCGTTGGGATCATGTGAGCCCAATTCCTGGCAACAGTGTCTAATACTACTTCTTGTTGGGGATTGCTTTTCTGCAAAGGGCTAGGCTACAAAGGATTATCAAATTTAGCTTGCGCTTAAAAAATTTCTCCTTGCTGTATGATAGTTGAAGACTAGCTTTGTTTTTCCTGTGTGTTTCAGTGTATCAGTATGCAGAATTAAATATATTCGCCACTACAGATTGCACTGTACTCTGAATGAACAAATTATTGCATGCTGGTTCATAGAGCTGAGTAGCATGGCCTGAAGAGCTAGCATTGTGCAAATGTTCCTTCTATTTGTCATGCTTCCTTCATTAGTGATTCATTAGGCACTCTTTTGGTAATGGATATGTATGCAGAGCTGAAAAGTTTATTGAGAACAAAGATGGAAATATTAAGCTGTCAGTAGATTGGAAATACTACAGGTCAACATCCTTTAAAGTTCAGCATGAGAATTAAAGCCTTTGAACATATATTATATGCAGTTTAGATAATCAGGAACTAGATCTTCAGTTCTAGAGATCTGATCTCTCTGTTAGTGTGTCATGGAAAGCTAGAAGGTGCAGCACTAGACTACTACCTATTTAGAGCTCCCACAAACTCTTGGCTCCCAGCTTCTGGCAGCCTTTCTTATTTAAGTTGTGGGACTACAAAGCCATGCTGAAATCAATACAGATGATGGCAATTGTCTTCTACTTTCTGCTTTTATATGGTTTTCCTTCCTCCTTCTGTATTAAAGATGGGAACATGATATGCTCATAACAGTGATCCACAGACAGAAAAAATGGGAAGATCCTCACTGCATGGGTGGTTTTCACTTGTTGAGATGTGTTAGTAGCCACCTAAGCAGCAGAGTGGGCCAGATTTCAGGGAGCCAAACAGGGTGCAAACCGTACTGTTTGCAGCATGCTTGCATTTGACACTGGGCAATCAGGGGAGTTGCTGTTGCTTTCTTTTCCCTTCGTAATGGTGTGGAGTTGTCCTCTGAGGCTTACTGTGTTGTGGGGGAGACTGTAATCTGTTTAGGCCAGGAAATACAGTGGTGCTCATAAAGAGCAAGTACTCATCCTTCCTCTTTCTCTAAATGTTTCTATTAATTTCCCTTTTCTATACCTCACAAAATATTAGTTTTATTGTATAATGATAGAAATCAAGCAAATGGGAACAGCAGGGGCTAATCCTTTTCTTTACCTAATCTTGTACTAAAAATGTCTTAGCTCATGCTCTGAAAAAACACCCATGCATCCTTATTCTGTAAAAACTTACTTAAATTATAAGTTGTGTTACAAAAATTAAAGCATTGCTTTGGTTAGGATAGGTTCTCCAAAAAACTTTCTTTTAAATTAAAATTGCATTTTTCATTAGCTCCTTGAGGAAAATCCTATTTGCTTAAATTAGAACTCATGTCTACAGCAACAGCATGGCTCTCCTTTAAACCATTTATTTTGAGAGAAGAAGACTGAGCTATTTGTTTGCCAGAGACAGGAGTGTCTTTTTTGGATTTCCTGCTAATGCTCAATGTGGTGTTAGTGGAAACAATGCCGGCTTTCCTGGCTGGGATGGCTGTGTCAGCTGTGCCTTTGCTGCAGAGTCTCACCTTGTCTTGAAAAGGCAGAGAGAACATGTCCCACAAAGATATTAATGGGGAAAAGACCCTTTGTCATGGAGACTAGGGGCAGCCTTGAGGTTATTGATTCTTAGAACAGGATATCAGCAACATGTTTGATGTTGCTGATGAACATAGAATATACTCAAGAAATGCAAAAAAAAAAACCCAAAAATTTAAGGATGGTATTGAAGAGTTCATTCCATTATGGGTATGGCTGATTGTACTTGCATGTGTTATGGAACCTCGTTCCTGTTCTTGTGCTCCTTGGCAATGTAAAAGCGTATTTCAAAGCTTCTTAAAAGTACCTTCACAGAATCACAGAATCACTAAGGTTGGAAAAGACCTATAAGATCATCCAGTCCAACCATCCACCTATCACCAATGGTTCTCGCTAAACCATATCCCTCAACACAACATCCAAACGTTCCTTGAACACCTCCAGGGAAGGGGACTCCACCACCTCCCTGGGCAGCCCATTCCAGTGCCTGACTACCCTTTCAGAGTAGTAGTATTTCCTAATATCCAGGCTGAATCTTCCCTGGCGCAGCTTGAAACCATTCCCTCTAGTCCTATCACCAGTTACACGAGAGAAGCGGCTGGCCCCCAGCTCGCTACAACCTCCCTTCAGGTAGTTATAGAGAGCAATAAGGTCTCCCCTGAGCCTC